GACAATTCCATTTTATTGGGTGCTGTTAGCCAGTCAACGCGGAAAAATGGCGTTTTGTCGCAAATAACTGATTCATATAAAAATAATATAATATTATGAGGCGGAATTGTTTTATATCGATGAATGGCAACGTTTTTCGTTGTTTATTAAATTAATCAAATGTACACGTGGGCGAAAATGTCTGATCTTGACATGAGGTCAGTTAACTACGATATACTGTATTAAAAGTGAACGCTATGTGACATGGGATATATGTTTTCCATACCCGGAAGTTGTCTACATGTTATTTGAATACCCCAGTAACAAACAACTCGACACGAGTGTGGAATAATACCGTATAATCAGTAGCATAATTTAATTATACTACGAATCATTCCCTATTCACTGAAAATAGCCAGATCAGGCACATCGACGCATGCATTAATTATGATTAACGAGATGGAAAACACTTTTTGAACTTCTTTTTTTTTTCATTCACAAAAGATTTACAATCTGTATTAACGCTGTCTATGCGATTATGACTCAAGTAGCTAACCAGGTCGAAAAAACTAATTTGTCTGACCGAAACGCTTTGACTTTGAAATATTATGTCATCGCCTTTTGTTCAAGACAGTATTATCGAATAACCGAACCCTGCTAGAATTCATCGACACGTGCTCAGAGAGAATCTAATTACGTCCCTTAAATAGGACGTGAAGGATACGAAGTACGATGAAAATGTCGCAAGGGACAGCAAAATTGTTTCATATTCGTAAGAGAATTGATAATTGAATTCCATTCATTCGTTTGTAATGATTGGCAAATTAGAACGACACGTGAAAGAAACTGAAGTCCCAGCTGGGCCAGGTTTAATTTTATTTTTCTGGTTACCGTAGTTACCTGTGTCGGCAGGTTAAATGGATTATGCATTTTTCGCACTCCTGTCAATTTTTGATAAATTCGGCTATTTTTCGACTGTAATCCATTTTTCCACAATATTGATGTAAATTTCCACGAGCGCGGCAGTTGGTAATTGTCTTATTAAAATTCCATTACAGAGTGTCGTTCTTACAGACTTGTATTCTGTTATGCCTCGAATTGTAATGGGAGAAATTATCGGCTTCAATATGCGATGGCAAAACAAGGAAATCACAAGACGGATGACTCATTTCCGAAGTACGCCAAGAATACATCACAAAAGTTTGAGAATCGATAAGCTCCAATGCGCATGTGCAGTACTGTATTACTAATTTGTTCCATGTGTGTATTCGTAGTATCGAAATATTTATTAATTATTTGTCTAGAAGAAAATTACCTAGTATGACAATCATTACCCAGTACAAAAGTTAGCAATTGCATTTTTTAGCATCTAAATTATCCCAAACGACCGGATGTCTATAACCTTTCAGCCAATCAGACACACTGGGGCACCAATTGTATGATCTCTATCTCTCCGCTGTCATCTTCTCTTATATACCGCTCTCTTCAACCGTCGTTCAAGTTGAATAAATCAAACTAGGAAATGGTTTTCAATGATTTCCAGTGAGCGATTCTTTCATTTGTTTTTCAGAGTTTCAAAAATGTATTTTTTTTTTCAATTTTAACGGTAACTTGTAGTTTTGTGCGTCTTTATATAAACAGTCCTTTCTCAATAACGAGGTCGGTGATCACTATTGAGGTCGTACGGCACAGACTGATTGTAATAATTATAGCGATGATTTGCAGGGTTAAACCATAGTTCATAGTGAAACATCACATTAAATGCCATCTTTGTATGATGGAAACACTGAGTTCACCAATTACCGAATATTACTGGTATCAAAAGTCAAAATCCGCCGGCGCTGAGATTAGTTATAGTAACGCTCCCAAAACGTTAGTAACACGATGGAGCTCCCTTGTAACTCGTAACACCCGAAAGTCACAGATAATGCATAAGCCAGTCGATCAAGTAAATTTGTTTATGTAAAAAGTCAAATTTTAATGAATATGACAAATATGGTAACAGAAAATAAATATAACATTGTAGTGTTCGCGAGCAATATAAGTGGACTCATAGTTGTTATTGCATGTAATTTATGATATGATCAAATGTTATTTTTCAGGAAAGAAAAAAATAGAAAAGACGCCGTTTTAACTTGAAAGACAATCAAGCTATGAGGTGTGGTCGTTGAAGGCGGTGTTATACAGAAAGGCGAAAAATGTACCAAATTATTAAAGATCGAGAGTGCCAAAATAGCACCCGGAAATCACTCATCAAGACCGCATCCCCTATGTATTACCCCCCACCCTCCTATCTCAGTGCAGGTCAATCTCCTCGCTCGGTGCTCGGTGTTCTTCGCAGCAGGTCGACACTGATTAGGCATACACCACAATAAAGTCGATACATGCAGTGATTTGATATACGCCGTTCATTTAAACCTATCCAAGTCACTATTTGTTTCCTGCTGCGTAAATTGGACTTTTGTGGGATTTTATTTTCTTCGCTGATTTTCTTTCTCTTTCTCTCTGGTTTGCCATTAGCTTTAAATAAGACACCGTAATTGGCCTGTTGTGCACTATTCATGCAACGTTGATGCGATTTGCGGCGAGTCACGACTGATCAACTCACATGGCACCCAGCTACGATAAACAACGGCTCGCGGCGAATTTGTATTCCTGTTGTCGACAGTCGGCTACAAGTAACGGCACCGCGGCAGCATTTCATGTGACATTTACTGAAGACTCGGTATGCATATTGGAAAAAGCCGTGATACATAATGCATTGTGCAGCCAATCTTATGCCTGGATTCACGACACTGCGGCATTCATTTTGGCATGTACAATTCACAGAGAAAGATATATAGGTGTGGACCAATAATTCCGATGGGGCGGATAGGATAGAACCAGAAACCAAGGACAGAATGGTACTACGTAATATACGTCTATAGAAAAGGAAATTTTGAGTAAACAAACAAACAAGCAAACAAACAAACAAACAAACACAAAAAATACATTCGCACATTATCCGGTAATTCTAACTTCAGCTGGTAATTTCGCCTCCGCCTCAGCATAATTGTTATTTCATCTGAAACGTAACCGACAGACACGTTATAGCGACATTAGGACGTCTGACTTATTCTGATTTATTTATTTATTATTTATAATATATATCACAGTCTTTTGATGCTAATACAAAAATACATTATTTACCAAAGCATACGAAAACAAATTTATATGAAAACGTAAATATTCCAAAGGCACAACAACACTCAATCGACGTGTTCTCAAAGCCAAAAAAACACTGAATAATTCACTAATGAATGAAAAAATTATTAATCATCACTGTGACATTTAATGGATTTAATTTTTCGCAAATCCCAGAAATGTCACAAGTAAGAGCACCCTAAAGTAAATTTTCATGAAGTTTAATCCCATGAAAGCATCGTAAATATGAATATCATTTATACGTATACATCTCCTAGCAGTGATTCTGAATTAGAGGGTTTACAAAATAAAGGAAATCGTACTCTTAGAATATACCAATTTCGAAATATTTACTTAATTATCGCAATAATTTTCTCAGAAACAAACAGTGTTTAATCGTAATCAGGCAAAGTACAGGACATAATAAATATTGGATATTAACTTGCAACATTTCTGGTTCGCGGTGTAAATTACCGACGTTGTTTAATACATACTCGTGTATATATCCACATATGTGTTATTTCACCGTTATTTCCACTGTAGCAGCATAATGGAGTAGAAAGCTTTTTAACCGATCTCTCCTGGATGGCAAAAGAACAGTTAAGCGTTGCCAATCGTACTTGAGCACCGTTGATGGCGCTAGTGGTCCATACTCCTATCTTAGAGACGAGACGATATCGAAGAGACCACGTCTTCGGCGCCATCATCGACATCGTACCATCTTGTTAATTTCGCCTAATTTTACAAATACAATACAAACTGCATTTTCTTTATTAATTAAAACTATAATTTTAGAATATTCAGGATTAAAAAGCATCCCATCTAATCATCAACCTAAAGATATGGCTTAATATATCCGTCATGTGAACCATTAAAATACGAACGAACCAACAATGTTTTCCATTAAAACGGGCTAGTGACCTACAGATTTTTTAAATACATTTATATTGGCCAGGAGTGAAGATAATTGCACACAAAAAATTTCTAGAAATTTTCATTTATGAGTAGGCTTCCACCCGAAGTCAATCGCCACCCAGTGACAAATATTACATCTCACCACCTTCCACAGTATTTGCGAATATGACTCATAATTTTGAAATATTGATTCTTCTCCAATATAATCATTACACTATTGCTTAGAACGAGCGGAAACGTTACCCCCTAAGTATCCTGTCAAGGGATCTGTCTGAATACTGACTATCCAAGATGATATACATCATGCACTCGATCAAATATCGTTTTCCCATTAAATGAAAAAAAAAATTATACAAAATGTATATGTTATGTCAAATATATATAAAAAAAAACACAATTTTACCTCTGGCGACTGTAGATCTGTAAACAATAAGTATTTAAGCGCTTATTTCAAATTTACTTCAACTTAATTATCAACTGGTAATATATAATTTCGCTTATAATAAATGATTGATTGCATGTAGGTCAGCTCTCAAAACTCACTGTCTGACATTTGTCTTTGTTCAATTATTTGGTTTTAAGGTTCAATCAACTTCACATACATGATAACACATTATACACAGGAGTAAAATGATATCGGGGTAGATGTGTGTTAGTAGTTCACGCATAACGCGAGACCTCACAGTGAACAGAAGATTTACTATGTTAATTTTAGACGCACATATATTTCTATTTCCCCTACAAACGTTTTTAAAATCCAGTCACTTTCAAATAAAAAATAAACAATATTTAGACTTCCTAATTGAGTGACTTTATATACTTTGTGTTAATCAGTACAAAGTCACCTTGTAGTTTCAGAATAAAATGTTTGAATATTTAACCATTTCACAATATTTTCATTTTACCTACATGAGTGGAATGGCATTATATCTGAGGGCTGAACCCAAATTCAAAGTCACTTGTTTATCAAATAATTTTTTGGATGACCTTTTTTTTTACTTTGAGACAGAAATAGTAGTGTCGGGCATATCCGACATGCTCATCGGTTTATGGGTTTCCTTGGGACGCAATCTTCACGATCGACTAAACGGGAATATTTTCCCAAAATATGCTGGAATTTGGGAGTAACGTTTTCACCGGATACCCGTAAATGTGCGTACTTCGGGATATTTGTTTGCGCGGAATCAGAGAGATCTTTGTTGAACCAAATGTTCACGTGGTGCGCCACCAACGACCATGATAGCAGAAAACCTCAGTATTCGACATGTGAAAACAAACCTGTGAGTTGTTTGCAAACAAGACTGAATATAACAGAATAATCTACCTACTGTATACTTACAAGCACCTGGCTACTTAGCCAGTAACCAATCGAGCACGATGAAATCCCACCTGTGAATAATTTGCATATGAATAGATAGTAATTAGTTTCTAATCTACGAAATTTATCATTATTTCCAATCACATGCAGAATTATCTTGGAGCACCAATGAATAATATGGACTGGACAACCAACTGCATATTTACCAACTCAACGTGCAGTGAACACCAAATTCTATTTTCTCATGCCGGCCTCAACGCGGTGCATGGAATGCGGCAAACGCCCAGATTACCAACTTAAAAATGCAGGTCGATTGACCGACATTTTGCAATGCTAACAATTCAGCATACTTACACAGGAAAGAAAACAGAGTGGTGTTGCATAGTTGTTATATCAGAATTAATTCATTACTATGTTTGGAAACAGTTCTTACACATAAATGGGATGGGCTTCGACGAAAAATGCACGATGGTGACTACGTCAAGGATTATGCAAATATTTCGCGACAACACGATTTCCGGTAATTTGTGCATTGGAATGTTAGTAGTAGTTTTCATAACGCACATTCGAAATTCTAGCGGCACATCTGATCAGAAAGCGTTCGAAAAGATGCCGTACCCAGATAACAATAAAATACACTGAATTTAGTTGACGGGAAACATGTGTCAGATTTGTGACTGTCTTTAGCTCTGTCTATAAACTACACAGCCACGCCGGCCGCTAACTTCTGTTTTCTCAAGTTCATCTTATCTACCACTATAATGAGCGTCTTGTTTTGGTCTTTCTCCTTCACTACCAGCCGATAGATATGCCCTTAGATTTTTAAGAGTCCACTAACCTCGGTATAACATCGTGTCATTAAAATGTTATCCAGCATCAGTTTACCGAGTATCGACTGGCGTTCTTAATTTTCCCGTATAGTCAACGCCATATTCACCGATCTCAGCTATGTCGATATAGTTATGATACTGACATGTTATGCATACGTACTATACTAGTAAGACTTCAACTTGGAATCGGATTAAAAAAAAAGTATTTTTTTACTGAGAATACAAGAGAACCACTGCGATAGCATGATGTGATGTATCGAACACACAACTTGACATCGGCAGGGTCGTTATCTTTAGCGGTTTATTATAATCCGCTCATTTATTTTCAATTTACAACTAAGTGGCTAAAATCGATTCATTCTTCTTACAATAGTGACTGTAAACTTGGCAATGTGTACTACCATACCATATTACTATACGGCAAGGTGTCGTTCAAAAGCCGAAACGAGGCGAGACATTTCAACGTACTCGTGAAAAACCTTAAATTGGTTGGCAATGTGCAATTCGAATAACATGACATAAATTTGAGGGATGTTGAATAGAGGGGAGGTAGCTGTTTCAAGAGTCTTCGGCGACAAATCTCGATAAAATATATTAGTATCCGGTCCTTCTATGGGTCATATGAAAGTCGAGTTGTTTGGAGTGCATGTTGACAATGTTCCATGCATTGATGCTATTTTTAAAGCATAAAGTTATTATTAGGCACCACGTACATTGAACATATTTCCAAGCGAATTAGCAACAATTGCCAATAGATCGGAACGTTATCTGAGTTAGTTTAACCCCGATATGGACGAGTGACCTAACTCCACGCCAGGAGAGACGGATAAATATGTGTTCTTATCGAATCTCTTTATGAAGGAATGTACTGTTTTTCGTTCTTCGGTATCAGTTCTCTAATGACCATGGAATTGCAAGGCAGTCTTCCTAAACGATATAACTTAATGCTTGGTTAAAAGCCTCCTTATATTGGCTCCTCCCATGGCAGTCGTCCTAATTTTAGAAGTACAGTTTTTTTTATCGCAATTTTCTACCAAACGTGTCGCTACTGTTTATAATGAATTTACTTCACGAACTGATGAAGAAAGACCATTAAAAAACCAACCATCGCTGGCAAATCTGTACGAATTTAAAATTTGAGATTTGATTTTTGATGTTCAAAATGAAATATGCGTTTGTTATCTCTCTACTAAAGTCGGATCCGTAAACATCCACTTCAGGGCAACTGACGGATGACCACCGATTCGAAGAGGAGAACCGGTTAAAGGTCATACTTAAGCAAGCAAATATTTGTAATCTCAGGGGAGAGATACAATTCTCGAAGTTCTTTCGATGAGGAGCACGCGAAATATGTTTATATAGCCACTTTTTTTTGCAACAGGTCTCAATTCTCCGCTCGCCTGTTCAAGTTGCCCCGCATATCTAATATCTTGAGTTTGTTAGACCAATTTGCATCCTAGTACGCGAATCAGTGGTTGCAATGGTGATTTCTAACCCATCCAGACTCAATGTTTTGAGTAGGCTGATATTGACAATTGTATTGGCTACTAGGGGTATCAGTACGAACGCTGAAATAAGTGGTTCTGTGTCGACAAGGCAATCTATGAAAAACGATCCCGATTCATACTTCAACGATGTCTCCGTTCGTGGGTTTAACAAGATATGGAAGAACAGGATGGTACCGGCCATGAAAGGAAGCTATAACAACGACGATATCTTCGAGTCTGAGTTTGACGAGAGTGAAAGAGAGGATTCTATCGCATATCCAGATTTCAACGATAGAGATATCTCCAAAGGAATGGACGCCGAGAACAAAGATGATGTTGCTGCCGCGGAGGGTCTGCCTAAAATAGTGCCGCAGTACATGATTGAACTTTATCAAAAGTTTGCAGAGGATAAGTACGCGCATCCTACAGCAAGTATTATACGAAGTTTTTCCAACGAATGTAAGTAATCGTTGATACTTTCCCCCTACTTCACATTTACTACTTTTAGTTTTATATTCATTTGTTTCGAAACTTTAATGATCTCCCGCGTATGTACATGTTGGTTGATCAAATAGACAAAAGAAAATACATTTTATCTACAATTTTAGAAATTCATTTTTTTCGCG